GCGCTGCGAATTAACCCGACGGATCCCTGCGTTTATTTTAAGACATTTCACGAGTCCGAGTGGCCGCCTGCTGCCCATCAGCTGCTTTAAAGCGACCCGAGTCTTTTCGAGCTGCCTGCTTTGCATTCAGCAGCAGTCGCACAATCACACACGGCCACTCGGGATCCCTTTTGTCATTTAAACTGGCATCAAGTCCGCTCGGAGTATTAGAAAGACCACGATGGTCATTTTAGACTCTAATAGTCCGATCTGATCTCGGACACACATCCGATTGACGGCTGTAATCGCTCTCAGCAGACCGGCGAAGCGCCCTGCATGCTGATGCTGTTAATCGGCTCGAATTTGTCTTGTAAATATAAATGATGCAAAATGACAGCAGACTTTTGCTCGATGTACGTTCTAGTTTCATCACAGCTGCTTCAGCTGTTTTCACAGGCCATGTGTCGTCTAACCTCTGCGGCACCCAATCCCATTTTTACTGCGGAATTATTTAGAAAGTGAAGTACTCACTAGACAAACAAACAAAGGACCCCCCACCCCCTCCACCCCACCCCAGGCTGATGCAGCACAGGGGGTCCCATTCACATGCAAATTATCAATGATTTCCATTCTGCGCGTCAGTGTGGAGAAACCAAAGTATATGGACCCTGCATCAGACGTACACGAATTGGCTTCTCTGTTCCGCCCAGTAAGAATGTTGTAACAGCAGCATTCCTCATTCCGTCTTTCTGTTTTTTTGTCATTTCAGATCAGCCCGAGTTTAACCAGATAGACCAAATCCTGCTGAAGCAGAGCCACACAGCTGCCGTCACCTTCATACTGGAGGCGGTCAAACAAAACGCAGACCAGTCCACGATAAGGTACGAGACGGCACACAGAGCATTTACTGTCCACCCTGTGTGCAGGTGGTGGTTATAAATTGGACACAAACAACCTTATCTGTTGCCCGCATGAGAGTCTCCCTCCCATAACACACGTAACAGCCTGTCCTTATGATACAGATGGATCCTGTAGCCTACACTGCCTACACTTTCTTTTGTTTTCTTTGTGTGTGTGTGTGTGTGTGTGTGTTTGTGTGTGTGTGTCGCCTTGTTTGACCCTGACCTCAAACCTAACCCTTTCAAAGCGAAGCACCTGAAGTAGCGCGCTATTTACAAGCAGGTCATTTCATGACGTTGAGCCAAAACCGCGCTGTTTTCATGCCTCTAACAATATGCAAGGAGACAATACTTCCAGAATTCACCTCCAAGGAGACTTTTAAGTGTGGTCTTTATGTATAATTACTGCAGAACAAAGCGACTCGGGGTTTTAGTAAAGCATCCGTTGAAGTTCTGAAGCTCGATGGGATGTTCTGTTCGTGTAGCAGGACTTATTATTCTCATCTTGAAGTAGGTATGAAGGAGCTTGCAAGCTGCCAGTGGAGCCATAATGTCTCCAGCAAATTAGTGCTGTAGTTACGCTGTTATACTTGGATCTGTGGTATTATTTATACATCTCACGAGTTTCTCATATGTAGCATTTTTTCTTCTTTGTTTTGTGTATTTTTTTCAGCTGAAGATTTTTTTCCCCACTTGATCCAAGTGGTGTTGGATGTTCAAGGTGTAGAGGATGAACTGTACGCATGTCCCGAACAAGCAAGCGTTAGTTTAAAGCTGCAAACGCTTTAGATTTCTATTATATTATTATTACTGTTATTATTAATAATATTTTACTCATTGCTTCTCCGCAGTCTTAACTGCAAGCAAGTCGGTTTTCAAAGTCTGCTCATAGAACCTGTGCAACAAGCTGAATTAAACTAATTGTTCCTTGGAATTGGATGACGAAAGGAATGCATGCAATTCTGCTATCTCCATATGAACTCCCTGCTGCTTTATGTAAAGCTGTCTAAGTGGACTTCCTTTCTGGGAACCAGCTGCGTTTTAAAGTATTGTCTTCTCCGTTCAGTTCCAGCCTTGAAGAGCTCACATTCAGCGCAGACAGAACAGAAATATTCTACAGCGCATACCAGGTAGCCTACATTCCAAACTAGGACGCATTTATTTCATCCTTTTTTTTTCTTTTGTTTTTTTTTTTGCCAGACTTGCCAGCAGCTAATTGGTGCTTTTTGTTTTGGTTTGTTTTGCAGAAACATAAAAAAGATTTGGAGCGTCTTTTAGCAAGGTAAGGCATCGCTGCGTGGTTCGAGCTGGCAGTGCTTAAGAGATTTGTGGGGCTCATGTTATTTTAAGGTGTTTGCTTCGCTCTCTGGGGATGCCATCACAGCCTACTATTGCCTAGGCTTTGTTTGTTTATTTATTATTTATTAATTACTTAATTGTTTTGGTAAAACTCGAGTCGCAAATTTGCACAATTATTAACCGAATGATTTGACACGTTGAAAACTGGATATTCGAGGTCTGGAACGGATGTGCTAACGTGGGAGGAAGAGGAGGCGAGTTGTTGTTCTAGTCAGTATTTAAGCTTCTCCGCGCCAAGATTAACTGACTTGTAAATGTGGATTTATGACGTGCTAACAAACAGCTTTTTGTAGAAGAGCCACCATATATGCAAACGGATTTAACTGCACCTGATGCGTAAAACCCCTGTGACGCACGGCAACTTTAAGAGTTTTTAAGAGTTTTTTAGGAGTTTTGGTCATATCATTAATTCTCTGCCTCCTCGCCGAATGAATGGGCAATATTTTCTACAGAAGCAAAGATGACTCAGTCTCTCCTTTCTTTTTCTTATAGCATAGGAAGGGGTCTACCTCACATTACCGACGCTTCGTGGCGCCTGGAGTACCACATGAAGGTGAGATCGCGAGACTAATTTCTGTCTGTTAGCGGTATATCATTTGTTGTGTGTTTCTAAAATGTTGCTTCTCACACAGAACGGGCAGGTGGATAAAGTCAACGATTCTTTCTATTTGATATCACTGAACACTGAGGTAACAGCCGCAGCTTTACTCTTCTACTTTCCAGCATTTATATAAAGTCTGGTATATTTCAATGGGTAACAGGACGCTTATGTTTGCTCCTTCTTTCTTTCTTCCTTCCTTTATTTATTATTATTATTTTTTAGAATGAAGGATCCTCAGAGGACATCAACTTTACTTGCACAGTGGAGCAGCTCCAGGTAGAGGAAAACTCTTGGGGTGGATAATTGTCTCGCAATTGCGTCGTACCTGTGCCATTACGCACTACAGTCACATTTATTAGCAGTCCTAAACACTAACCACGGAACTTATTGCTCTGTGGTAGCTCTCCTTATCGAAAGGGGTGTGGATCTTTCAGGAAAAAAGTCAACGTGGGAAATTGTAATATTATGTCCATGCGGTAGCTATTTTTTTCTTCACGGATTCTGATTTTGATTGAGACAGAATCGCTACGATCCATCCTTTACTGCAGCTCACTTTAACAGAAAATAATGAACAGACTTGAAAAAGGTTAAAAATGTTTTGTAATCATCGTGGAAACATCAGCAGTGCCTTTTATAAAATCAGAGACCTGCTGATATCAGCGGCTCTGGAATGATTGGATGAATGCAAGCCGTCAGTCATCTTCAGTCTAATCAGCCTGAATCTAAAGTCGGAAATTAGTCTAATCATTGTGCATAAATAATATATCTTTTTATATAAATGGATAAATGATGATCGGTGTCTGCCTTTTCAGGATTTGGTGGGGAAGTTGAAAGACGCCGCCAAGACTATGGAGAAAGCCAGTCAGATGTGAAGCTTGTGTCCACTTTCGTCCCCTTTATACCTGCCACTGATGTGTCACGTGTGTTGTCAACCCAACAAATGTATTTGAAAGAAAAATAAAATAAATAAAATCTTCTTTGTTCTTTGACTGATTTCAGGATTTTGGTGTGTTACACGTCTTCCAAGAACTTCCCCTTTAGGACTGGAGAAAAATATTTTATTAAAAGATTAATTTGAACGTGTGTACAGTAAAGAAACTACACCCTCGCGTTGTTTAAACAGCTTGTGTAGGATTTCTGACATAGCTGCACGACAGCGGTGTCTTTTTTTCTTTCTTTCTCTCGAAGTATTTGTTACCACAAGAGTTTCAGCCCAGCCTTTCTTGAGATCTCTATTTTTAAAAGGCTATTATCAGAGATCTACGGCTTTCTCGCGTCATGAGAATTTTAGTCCATTCACTAAAAAACAAAACAAAACAAACAAACAAAAATAAAGCTCCCCGAGCTTTTTTGCGTCCACCTCAGCTTGAAAAGTTCAAAGCTCCTCAGCTGAAGCAGCACGGCGGCTCGGATTCCGTAAACATCCGAGATGCCATCGTTTTCAGCGGAGGGTTAAGGCTCCAATTCATCAAGTGTGGAAGTTTATTCTTCTTCTTTTCTGCACAGCATGTCAGGACAGACTGTGACAAAGGTTTGACACCAGGGCCATTTGTCATATTGGCGTATTTTCCACCAAGTGCGTGGGATCTTCAAAGCAATGAGCTGGATAGCTTAATAAGACAGCCACTTGGTACCTCAATAGACTTTGATGCGTTTGATGGTCAAAACGACACGAAGTTGTGCGAGCGCGTGTGCTGCTGCTGTTATTTTTGACATCAGAGAGAGGGCACACCGAGAGCCTACTTTCTACATCTGCCTGCTCCAACCATTGTGCCCTTCGCTTTCTTTCTTTTCTTTTCTTTTAAATTTTGGATACCCATCAGGACATATTGAGCCTCGTCGTGCTGAAAAGCGACCTAAGCTGCATGGATGTGCACCGTGTGTTATTTTAAATCATGCGTCACACTTAAAAAAAAGACCAGAATAGACCGACAGTAATTTGTGAGCGCCCTTAAGCAGCTTCTCGGTGTCGTTTCAGGTCGAGAAAAAGGCACAAACCGCTAAAATAAAGATATGTTTGTTAAAAACGCGCCCATCGCGTGTAAATCAGCCTTTTTTTCCTTCACGTCTTTGCTACTTTGCACATACGTAGATCAGTAGAAACAGCATACACCGACAGTAATTTCTAGGCACCCTTAAGCAACCAGACCACGTGACCAGAGCGGGGCGGTCGAACTACAAGCCATTTTGGGGACGGTGTCAGTTTCCACGGAGCACACACACACACTGCTGCGTTTTACTGGGGGGCGAAGCGGATATTTTGGAGGCAAAGTTATCGGTGCCGAAGTGGGAAGCTTTCCGAGCCGGAGCCGAAGGACCGGGATCTCTTGGAAGGCGTCTGTCGGACACGCACACGCCGCGCAATCGCCGAGGAAACGGGGAGTTTTTATTCGCACATCTGAAATGCGCTCCAGTCCGCCGTGCGCTCTCCGCCACTGACAGCGTCTGCAGCCTGCTTCAAGATGGCGGCTCTACTCCTATTCATTTTCTGCTGATCGCCTCCCAACTTTCATTGTCTACTCGCCTCGGTGCCCACCGATTCCCGGCCGAACCTTCAGGTACGTCTCCTTCGATATCGTCTCTAACTAACGGGGCGAAAGGGCGAGGTTTGGGCTTTGTGTCTTTGTGTTTTCCCCCCGCTACGTCCAGCGGTGGATGTGGAGCTTTCAACGGTGGCTGCAGCGATCACCGACGTGGAGCTCCGTGTGTGGGTCTGCGCACCACTTTTTCCCCCCAGCAAAAGATGTTCCCCGCTCGGCTATAAACGCCAATTAAGGGTCGGGCACATTCGCTCCTGCTTCTCCCATCGTTCAGTTACGCGTCCGTATAAGTTGGTCACGGTTCGGGTTTGCATTGCGTCGTTGGGATTTATGTAAAGTGGGAGACCCGAGGCGAACCAGGCTGTGTTGGCTGCGATGCGAGGAGCAGCAAGTGCTTCAAACGGTCCCCCTGCGTTCGTGTTTCCACGTAGAGTCTTCATTTTATAGAGTTTGGATCTTTGGGGTGATGGGAATTGGGTGGCAGGTTGGTTTTCGGTGAACGTGACCGGATGTTGGATTTATTAACTTAACTTGGATCGCTCCCGTGAACGTGCCAGGGAGGCAAACCGTTTCCACCGAGCATAAATGTTTCATGACGGCTGCTTTGTAAACACTGGATTGTCGTTAAACGCGTATACGGACTACAACTGGCTGTTTACGTTTTGGTGTGTGCTTGTCCTGAGTGGGAAGGATGGTTATTAAATTTAAATTTAAAGAAGAAATTAAGAAGGGAGAGAGAGAAAAAAAATTGGCGACTACAAAGGAGTGGCTGTGCCTCTCCAGGCAGTCTGAAGCTCTGGTAATTCCACTTAAATTCACATGAGCTGTAGCCAACACAGACTGTTTGTTTGACAATTAAAAGCTCATCATGGATCGCAATAATTCCCACCTTTATACGGTCTGTGTGTTGGCGCACACTGTAGCTCCCAGTCTGGTGATGGGCGCAAGCTAGTGTTTCCTCTGTAGAGAGCGAGGGGGGGTAAAAAAATTATCATTTTACCCATGAACGCTGGTGTAGACCTTGTGTGCACTTATAATGGGTTAAATGAATCTATCCCCCCGAAACACACACTCCACCGCCACCCGCTTGGTTTTTGCAGGTTGACAGGCTCACATGTGTGTGAATAGGAGCGATCATGTAGCCCAGCAGACTGGATGGAGTACATCCACTGAGTAGGGAGGCATTTACACGGAATAAACGTAATTCCTTTGATACGTTTTAGTCCTGTGGTCAGTTCTAATCAGGAGCTATTTAAGCCACGGTTTTCTAAATGAACTCACAGCGGCTGATGTGTTTCTTCTCCTTCTTTTCTTTTTGCCATCCCAGTTTTTTTTAATTGGGTTATTTCCAGCTGCTGTTGATCTACATGTAAGAGGTGAACGCTTTACAAGAGGAACTGGTCTGGTAACTACAGAAACCGATGGAAATCTCCAATTTAACGTGTCTTGTTTGAAAGAATTTAAGATGTACTAGTTGTGGAGAAATAATTGATGGCCTGCTGTCAGCACCAGCTACAGCTTAAGCCAAATTATCAGTAAAAAAATAAAATAAAATAGAGGAAAGCCCGTGTTGTGCACAAACCTCTGCATTCAGCGTATTCCCAACTGAATCCAGACTGTATTGTTTGATTTTTGGCCATTCAGCAATATTCGTTCCCAAAGTGTATTAACTTTATTTTGGATTTCTTGGCTGACCTGACTTGAAGTCTTATAAAGTGAGCAGGCAGGTCACACACACACACCCTGGCAGAGGGGAAAGCAGTTGTCCAAACACCAGCCAATCGATTAATGGCGCAACAGGCTCCCTGCATATATGTAGGCATTATCCATCATTATCCGTGTGTGAGGCATCCTTTGAACCGATTTGCTGTCCAAACTTGCCTGCAGTGGTCTGTTCACAGGCGGCCAAGGAGAGGTCGGTTGAAGCATTGAAAAGCAGCCGTGACTCGGGCATGGTGCCGACTGTGGCTCCATAAAGTAATAGTGTGGGTTCCGAGCTGGGCACGCTGGCTCTCATCCAGCGTTTAAAGAGGGGTCACCCGCTCATATTCACTCTTTACCCCGGATAGACTTTTAATGATTGCATTAAATTAAAAATAAAAATAAAAAATGACAGCACCCAGCCGCGATAATCTTTACAAGTCCAACTTTAAAAAACAAAAAAGTGCGCCAGACTGGTCATCTTTTTCGAGACCAATTTGCCCACCGGATCGTAACTACCGGATAAAAATCTGAAGACCGGGATCCTTTGGCATCTGGTGACTTTACTCTACCGCCCTCGCTTTTTTGTTGAAATGCACTCGAGCACAGAGTGTAGCCTAAATTCGACATTCGTGTTTGATTCATGGACTGTGCGGTGCTTGAACTGGAAATGGCGCAGAATAAATGGTTTGTAATGACCCAGCGTGCGCCTCAACTTCGGCGCAGTCGCTGGCGTCTGGCCATATTGGTGCTGCGCGGTGTTGATGAAAAAAGCGCAAAGCGAATCAAAATAAAGCTGAAATCTCTCTCTCTCTCTCCCGGTCGGACTCGTACGCTCCTCTGTGTCTGGCTCACAGATACATAAAGCTCGTGTAAACACCTCGGGGTGGGCTTCATTCGCCCCCGTTAGAAGGAAACCCCGCAGCCCGTTGAACCGATACATGCTTCTTTTTTTCCTCCACAAAATGGCAGCCGTGCTGTCGGCAGCCTGGCAGCCCAGCGGCTGTGTGTGTGTGCACGGAGGGACTCGGAGACTCTGTCCTTCCTCGTTCCCACTCTGCACACGGGCACGGCTCGCCGTTTTGTTTTTGTTTAGACATCCTGTCGTTCTGGTCACTGGCGACGAGCCATGTGGGCTAAAAAAGCAAACGGGGTTGCCATAGAAACGCTCAGGTTTCCCCGTGGCTTGTGTGGCACACCTGACGCAGTGAGTGGGTGCCTCATATTACCCACCCCCCTGCGCGCGCACGCACACACACACACACACACACACACACACACTTTCACCCAGTCACCCCGGTGCGCCCGTGTGGATGATATTAGCCCACTATTATTGGCAAAATTCGCCAAACCCCACAGAACATGGCAACCCAGTAAGGGGGTTACCCACTTAACTAAAGGTTTCGGTGCTGGCTGGGTCTGATTTATTTAATTTTTCACATTGTCTCGCATAGGTTTTCGTTTTTACCCCCACATTTGCGCTCTTGGTTTAAACCGTTTTCGATTTCGCTTAGAGTTTAAACCATCCATGTTTTTAAAAGTGCGCGCAAATCTGAAGTTGCGGGAGGTCAATATTCCCGTGCCGTGCCTCAGATTTGGTTCCTCAAAGCTCGACCGCTGCTGCCCCTACTATGTCATTAAAGATGCTGAGCTAAGGCGAAGGAAAGTGGGGAGCGCATGGCTCCATCGATCTCAGCGGAAGTGATTGATTTATGATTATTCGCCGCTGCCTGTAAATCTGCCAACGAACGTCTTTCCCTCTGGTTATTTCTGGATCGGCAAAAAGGTTGATGTTGCTTTATCGCAGTCCAAGCAAACAGCAGTCTCGTCCAAATGCTCCGCCGTGCGTTGACAAACCTCTGCGTGCTTTTGTTTTGACCTGTCCTCCTTCTGCGCGCAGGGATTGTTGTTCCTTCCTCTCAACATGCATCGGACGACCAGGATAAAGATTACCGAGCTCAACCCTCACCTCATGTGCGTTCTGTGTGGAGGATACTTCATAGATGCAACCACCATCATCGAATGTCTTCATTCATGTGAGCAAAACTCGTCTAACTTCATTTCATTAAATTTTTTTATGGGTCAAAATCAGTTCATATCACCCGAAGCTGCTAAATGTGAGATATGTTGGATTAAATTTTAACATTCCCAGTCTTCTTTTTTCAGTGCTGCAAAATGTATTTCTTGCTCTTGCTCTCTTTTAAACTCAATTTGGCTCCTCAGGAAATGCTTTCAGATCTCATCAGACATTAACAGGTTTTTTTTCATCTGTTTTGCAGTTTGCAAGATGTGCATTGTGCGCTATCTGGAAACCAGCAAATACTGTCCCATCTGTGATGTACAAGTGCACAAAACCAAGCCACTGCTCAACATTAGGTGAGAACTGTGCTTACCATGCTCTCTGCATTTTGCTCAGCTGCCCCCGTTGTTATTGTTACCTTTTTCAGGGCCCATATAAATTTGGTTCTAAAAGTTTAGTGACGCCCGATGGCTTGAATTTAACCCCTTAAATATGATTTTTCTGTTCTTTTCAAACAGTGTAGAACGTATATTTTCTGCCTTTGCAATCTTAAGCGAATACATTACTTGTTTTCGGTTTCCTTCCCTTTGTGGGTTCCCCACTAAACAGCTGAATCAGCCTCTGATTTAAACATTCAGACATGAGAAACACATGTAGGCGTGTAGGCGACATGACATGTTTGAGGTTTTCCACAGCGATGAATACTGGTCTCATTTTTTCAGACAAGAATTGGTTTTAAATACTTGACTGAAGTTTCTTTTCCTCTCTCTCTCTCTTTAGGTCTGACAAAACTTTACAGGACATTGTGTACAAACTGGTCCCCGGCCTCTTCAAAAGTAAGAGTCGCATTTTTACTGTTCAGTCTGACTTTTGCACGTAAATTTGTCTCTGCAAGTATATTAAAATAAGAATAAATGAACATTACCGATGAGGGTATATGTAATTGCATTTGGATATGGTGTGTATGTTGTGTAGTGGAAAGCTTTGCATTGAAAAACTTGAAGTTTCAGCTTGACAGTTAATTATTTGTTGTAAAGTGCAGAGGTGTGTTGAATTGGGATGACGCTGAGGGTTATGGTCATCAAATCTGTCTGCTTTTCTTGCTGCGAGCACTAGAAGTTCATTAAAACAAGCTGAGACAGGTTCAAGCAAAACAGTTTTCAGGGTCATGTCTCATATCACCCATCTGTAAGACAGAAATGTTGGAGAATCAAATCATTATTTCCATGAATTCTCACATCGATGCCACAGTTTTAATCTAGCTTTTCTTGTGTTTCGACAAATATTTATTCCTGGAAGTCACAATATTAAGGGTCGCTGAGAATTCACATGGTTTCTGAAATAAGGTAATAGTGGGAAGTGAAAGTGAATGGATTGGTAATAACACACCTTTCTGAATGTCTTCAGATGAGATGAAGAGGAGAAGAGACTTTTACGCAGAGCACCCCGTAGATGGTGAGTCAGAAAGAAAATGTTCTTTTCTTTCTTTCTTTTTTTTTTTCTTTTGGCGAAATATTTTCCACATCAGAGAGTCTGCTGTGCTGTAAACGCAACATATAAACCCACCCTCACATCCAGCCGTGCATGTGTGTGTTTCTATAGCGTCTAATGGAACAAATGAAGATCGTGGAGAGGTAGCAGATGAGGACAAGAGAATTATTACAGACGATGAGATCATCAGCCTCTCTATTGAGTTCTTTGATCAAAGCAGGTACGCTTGTATTAAAAATACATGGAAATGGAAAATAGTTGTTCCTAAAAGACTACAAAATCTAATATTTATAGAGGTTTCTCGTTAGTAGATACAGCTGTTATGATACGCTTACAGATATTGCTGCACTATAGCCGATATTATCAGTCTGCTCTAGAATCATGAAAACTAGCTTAACTGACGCTGGTACCATGTTTTATAGATCAAAATACGACATGTCCTACCCACAGTGTGATGTAATGAACAGAAATAGGATCATGCGTATAATATGACAGATTTTGGTTTTTGTATTCAAATGCCTTTTAATTAATTATTTTTTAATGGTGTGTAAATTTTAGCTGCCTTTGCAGTCATTATAAAATAATATTCAAGACTTTATTTTAAGTTTATTCTAATGTCTGGAATTTGCCAAAATACTTGACTACAGTAATACTTCACAAAAAAGTACTGCATGAAACATAGTATGTTTAAAAATAATTTTTTTTAAAATAATCTTTCAAAATTTGAATTCTGTTGCTAACTCTGTGTGATTTAGTTTTAGAGTTATACATACGCTGGAAAGTTACTTATGTTTTTCCTCTGTTTTTTGGCGCACAGACTGGGAGGAGCAGTGGAGGACAAGCAGTCAAAAGATCAGGTATCACACGTTGACTTAGGCACATTTTTGTTTCTGTCATTTTTTTTCATCTTTGCTAACACTTTAGGCTTAAAACAGCCTTAGAATAAGGGATAATCAAACATGTGTGGAGACAAACAATTATAATTATGTTCTCTCCAGTGGTAAAGGGCTACATTGTTTTTGCTGCTTTTAAGGTGGACCAGCCTGTGTGTAGATTCTAGTCATTGTGTATAAATGTTTTATTCCACACGTATGTATATACATATGTATTTTTATTTATTTTTTGTTATAATGTGTTTTATCTGCAGGTGGCTAACAAGAGGTACTTGCAGTGTCCAGCAGCCATGACAGTTATGCATCTGAGAAAGTTTCTGCGCAGCAAAATGGACATCCCAAACACCTACCAGGTCTGTTTAGTTTAATTATTTATTTATTTTCAGAGATACTTACTATAAATGTATCACAAAAAACTGAGAGATATCTTATTTACATATTTAATGATTTCCTCTTACAAAAGGTTATTGCGAAAAACAAAAACAATAAAAAATAAATAAATAAACCCATTCTTTTTTTTTTTTCCTCTTAAGGTTGAAGTCATGTATGAAGATGAACCTCTGAAAGATTACTACACGCTAATGGATATAGCATATATCTATACTTGGAGAAGGGTAAGAAATATTTTTGCACATTTTTAGAAAGCTAAGGTTTTTTTTGTTTTTTTTTAATCTCAAGATGTGATTAATACACTGCAATTATTGAGTTGTAATTGCAGTGTATTAATTTTTATTGATACACTGCAGTATATTAATAATATTTTCTTTGTTAAATAAAACCATCTCCCTCTGTGTCAGTTAATGTATTTAATCACAATTTATTTTTAAAAATACATTTAATATCAACAAAATTAGGTACTTTTAAAATTTCACCTTGAGACATAAATAGAATAGATACTTACGTTTTGATTGCTGAGCTTTTAAAATATTATTTTATCATTACACTGAAGTTTTTGTATATTGTTATATATAGGTTTTTATCACTTTGTTGTAGCTGGTGTTGTATAGTGTGCGGTCAGTTAAATATAGATATTTTTCTGCTTGTTTATTTTAGTCTTCAAAAACACAAAATCTCCAAATGGGGAAGCTGTTCGAGAAAGAGGGTTTTTGTTCATACATGTTGTTAAAGATGCCAAAATTTAAATAAATAATAATAATAATAAAAAACATATTTACAATATTAAAAACGTTTAAAATTTACGATCAGTTTCCGTTTAAGATTTTAGTCAAATGAACACATACATAACCATGGACATGGCTATATTCGAATTTGTATGGTATCATGTTTTTGTACTCAACCTGAAATAATATGTACTTTGAACATTATTAAATTTTATGTTGCCCCTTTATATATATATATATATATATATATATGTGTGTGTGTGTGTGTATGTGTGTGTGTGTGTGTGTGTGTGTGTATCAGGGACATTCTGCAATTAGTTATGGTTTTCTATCATGTGTATGCAAAAAGGGGGGAGGGGCAACAAAGGGCACAAGATCTTTATGCCATATGTGGCCTCTGAAACTAACCGCTTTAGATGTATCTGGGTTACTGAGTTGAAAGTAGCAAGTTTATAACAAAACTTGCTACTTTCTGGTCTGGTTATCAAACTGAATGTACGCCAGGACATGACTGGATCTTGATCTCTATAGAGTAGTGATTAAAAATGGAAATTTGGGGTTAAAAAGTAAATGACCCCCACATATCTTTCCAAGTTTGTTTTTTTGCAAATAAATGAATCAATTCCGTAAAAAAATAAAAAAACAAGTTTAAAAAGTTGTAGAAGAAACCCATTAATAAATTAGTTTTTACGACTTTTTTTTTACGAATAAAATAGGTTAGATGACCCCACTTGGTCACTTCAGGGTTAGTTGAGTAACTAATTAAATAAATAAAAAAAAAAACAAAAAAAAACAACTGAATAAAGTTCCTAAAAATGGCGCCAACCCCATTTACAGTTTAAGTTTTAATGTTTTAATAACTTCTTCTCCTCTTCCGCAGAACGGCCCGCTGCCGCTGAAGTACCGAGTCCGACCCAACTGTAAGAAGATGAAGGTGAGCCACGCGCAGCAGGAAGGTCAGAACAGCGCGAGCAGATCCGGGCAGGAGAGCGACTCTGCCAGCGACAAAGCCGGAAGTCCAGCCGGGGCTCCGTCCACGTCCTCGTCTCTGCCGAGCCCCGGCACGCCTGCGCAGTCCCCGCACCCGCACGGCAACAGCAACAACAACAGCAGCGGCTGCACAGTCAACGGGACTCCCACCGCCACAGCCCCGAGCCCTAGCCGACCCTTCACCCAGTTCTGCGGCGGCAACGGCGGCAAACCCCGAAAGGTTTCTCTGAACGGCTCGTCGACCTCATCCGGATGACGCGGGGCTCCAAGCAGTGCCGGACCAGACCAGCCAACGCCAGACACCCGCTCAGCTAATACTGTTTTCATGCCAACGTAGTTACATTGTGTAGACAATGTGCTCTCTCTCTCTCTCTCTCTCTCTCTCTCTCTCTCTCTCTCTCTC